CCAGCCAATCGCTGCTTTGCTGATCATGGTTTAGAGTATTGATACAGAGCCCCTTTTAAACCAACCCATGAAGGCGCAATTATCTCAGATAACTCAATCCAGCCATACTAATCATTAACAACAGGTGCGTTCGAAGAACCGAATTAGCCAGATCCTGATTAGCGTGATGATATCATCTTGGATGTGACATTTCATCTTGGATATAATAAGCGACGTATGAAGAACGAGCCCCAGCTTAGGACCAGGGGTGTATTCCAGAAAGGAGGTTCAACAAACTCTGAGTTAAAACTTGAACTCTGAGTTGACTTAACCTGAGATTGAGTTTTCGGTTTCGGTTACCGTGAGGTTTAGTTTTGTCTTTTATTGTAATCGAAAACACAGGGTTTTCCTTTTCTGGGGTTAACAAACTTTGAGTTTCCAACAAAACCCACTTTCTGGAATACACCCCAGCTTAAACCAGGGCTGCGTTCCACTCCACTTTTAGACAAGTACTCGTGAACTTCCCTAAGCACTTCCCCTCAGGGGAATCCCCGCTGCCATTTTGAAGTGCGTTCCACTTCGTGAAGTGGACGAGGGAAGTTTATATGGACAGACCCTCGACCCCTCGATTTTGACCGAGGGAACGAGTCTGCTTCATATGCACACTTCAGGCCGCTCCATAGACCACAATGTAACACGATTGTGATGTCATCGCAGATCACGTTTAATTTATCCCCACCCCAAACAACTCTATAATATATAAAGGATTTTTTAAACATTTATAACAGCCCAAACATACCTATATACATATAGAATGCTGCACCAAACAAATTCATAAAGGAAAAATTTAAACAATAAACCAACTCCAAAGCTGATTCTAAGTGATCAAGGGCTTAGGACATTCCAGTTAAGCCCATTCCAAGGGTTCTGCCAGAAGTGAGCACTCATGCAACGTAATCAATGACGTACATCCGAGTAAATGAGACAGAGGGAAGTTTGAGAGTGAAGGGCATAAATGGAGGACTGGAACGCAGCCCAGCTCAAACCAGCAGCTATGCTTCAAAACATACCTAACCAATTAGGTTTTCTCAACGGGGAAGCAGCTCTTCATCATGTTGTGTGTGAAGAGCTTCTGCAGTTAATGCAAAATTTACCAATATTACTATCCTTGTGGGGATTATAGTAAGATACTGATAATATTTTTTTTATAATAGCAACAAATAGCCAGAATATAAATATTTACTGGAGAAAAGTGACAAGCACAAATTGGTTGTTTAGGTTCTGTTTGGAATCGTGTTATAAAACAGTGTCACCTAGAGCCCATACAAGAAAATGCTGTGAAACAAAGTGACACATTTGTTATGACATTAACAGAGCTCTGCTTTATTATACACCTGGACAGGTTCAGCATCTATGACATTTTTATACATTCTGTATATTGCTTCATTAGTTCTGTTTGAAATCATGAGAGAGAATACAGCATTTCTTTATACATTTAAAATGATCGATGTGGCAACATTGTTTCAAAATGACAATTATATGAATAAAAGAATCTGAAATATGAACAGAAACAGACCTGTGTGTTATAACGATAACAGAAGAAGAGAGCTGAACGACATTGATGCTGCTTCATTCCCAATTAAACACAAATAGAATATCATGCAAGATACAAATAATATTTAGTAATTAGCTTGCTTCTATTATACTTGGAGCTCATTTATTGAGTTTGACAGTACTCGGCATCCCAAACACATTCCTGGAGCCTCCTCAGCACTAGTTTGAACGGTTGAGGCTAGAAAGGATACAGCTGTGCCACTGGGCATACACGCATCAATATTGCGTATTTTTTGTCGCAACACTATATTTGCATTATTGTAAGGGTTAGGTTTAGGGTTGGGGTAGGTGTAGACGTTAATAAAAATAAAAATAAAAACAATCTAATAGGAAGAAAATTTAATTTCTTGTGACTTTCCAGCTGTAGCTGTATCCCTTCTAGCCACAACCACTTTGAACATCTTTGTCTGACACCAATTTCAGAGTCTCTGCTAATGAACTGATGAGTTGAATGAAGTGTTTGATTAAGGAGACATGCAAAATGTGCCGTGCTGGGGAACTCCAGGAACATGGTTGGGAACTAATGATCTAAACAATAAAATACATTTGCTAATGCACTACGCATTATATTAAAGTATTTTGAGGTCACTTAATTGATCATCTGCCCCTGTAATCAAAATGTATGCACATATTTTTTTGTTCTGTTTTTGTGCCATTGATGTATGTTCCATATGCAAAAGCTGCAATGAATTATGCGTATGTTTTTAAAGTTTTGCAAAAATACAGATAGAGTAACATTATTCCAGTGAGCTGTGTTCTAGATGGTTGCTAATCAGTTGCTAGGCTTTTCTGGGTGAGTGTTAGGGTGTTGCTTGTTGCTTACATACTTCTTGTTCATTAATTTCATAATATAAATTCAAATCTTACTTTGAATGCAGCTCAGTTTTTTGAAGGGGTCAAGTTATCTTTTTTTTTTTCATGGAAATGTTTCCCAGCTAGATCTGCACCAAACCAGCATAAATAAGTCAAGACCAGCATGCTGGCCTAATCTAGATTGCATATCAAATTTGAAAATAGGACTCTGAAAATGGTGGAAATACTTCTTTCAAAAACATGTCCTTCACGTGGCTTATCATTGTTTGCAACTGCAATAATAGTTTATTAATCTACCTTTTGTTTTTTGTCAGTTGCTTTGGATAAAAATAGCTTTATGGATTTTCTTTATAAAAAATACAACACAAATTTACAGCAGCATAATGAAAACACTTACTAAAATAAGAGACCGTTGGAAATATATTGTGAAGCAACAAGTAACCGGAATATTGATACTTAAGGTAAAATGATGTGCTTGTGAACAGGCCACTGAGAGGCTGTTTAGGAGCTGGAATTGCATTATTAAGAACTGCCACCTAGAGGACATATACGAAAGAGGCCTAGACTTTACAATTAATTTGATCTCTAATATGGTTCTCTTTGAAATCATGCCAAAATTGGTAGTATAACTGAGAATAAACAGACACTATGATATAATTTCACTTGCATCTGACTTAATTTAACTAGCAGATTTGATTTTGTTGTAGCATTTTATGTTTGTGTTCCTTCATCTGCAAAATACAGCAAAGTGCCCTGCAGGAAGCAACTCATTTCTCACAACTAAAGCTACAATAAAATGTAGAATCAATACAAACAACTGTAAAAAAGGGGCACATATATATCACTATGGAGTAATTCCAAAATAAAGTCCTTTCACGTCACCATTTCACATGTCGTTGATCTAACAGTCTTCACCAGCTGTAGGCAACTCTTTCCTGCAGAGTTGAGCTCCAGCCTCAATCAAACACACCTGAACAAGCTAATGAAAGAAGGAGGATGACTTCTTCTTCTTTTTAATGGTGGTTGGCAAACCCACTTAAAAGGTGCATTTCCGCCACCTACTGGACTGGAGTGTGGAGCATGATGTATATTGGTGACAACATATTTTTAAAAAAACAAACAAAAAAAACTTTAGTTTGACCAAAGGAGTATTACACAAGGATACAATTATTTTATATACTTCTTTATGTGATCTTCAAATTCTATTTATTAAACCTATTACTTTCAAATAATTAATAATTGCATTATAGACTTTATACTGTGCTGGAGCATACTCTAGTATTTTCTTAATTGTTATACCTTCAATATTCAACAAACTTAATTCTTCCATTAATCACATTCTTTCTCTTTCATATGTTTCACAATGTAATAGGATATGTTCCACAGTCTCTGGTATACCACATTTATTGCAATTACCTGATTCATGTTTACCAATAATAAAAAATGATTGATTAAGAGCTGTGTGACCAATACAGAGTCTATTATTATTGTAGGGAGGAGGACTAGTGTTGTGCCACGTTTTTATAAGAAGTCTTCTTTGTGACATCCACCAGCGTATCAAAGATGTGTTCAAAGCTCATGCATTCCCTCCGCTGGTTGGCTTGAATCTTTGTATAAAATACAGATATTGACCCCAAAATGACAAGTCTCCAATAACAAGTTATTTTTTATTGAGATTGTATTTAGATGCACAGTTTCAGGAATATTTCCATGCAGACATGTTGAATTCGGAATAGCATGCTAGCATACCTTCTCTTGCCATTTGTTCCATATCCTTTATATGGCTTTTTATTCCATAACATTTTCTATTATGTTATTTTTATTAACTATTTATGTTAGTAGTGTTCGTGAAAATCCATTTGTATTTTCCAGATGCTTTTGTAACATGAAGCAACATGCTGGAACAGCTGGAGCAAATTGGATACCTCACAGAACATTGTGGTACTTCAAGAGTGTGATGAGCGTAGACTAGTTTTTGGGTTAAAGAGCTCACTACGGCAAAACCAGATGACTGTGGGTTCTTTAGAAATGTACCGTGGAATTTTAAGATAGTGGTTTGCAATTAAGTAGTAAATATTATTACTTGAAGAGATATGTAGTGTAATAGTAGGAACAGAGTAGCACATTGGATTTTTACATCACATTTAGGACTGAATTATTATAAGGGTTATATTGAGTAATACTGATTAGCATGTTAATTCTCTGCTACCATGATGGATTATGTGTAGATGCTGAATGAGCTAAAACGTAGCGCCAGTTGATAATAAAAAGTACATAATTGCACAATAGTTCAGTAGGGAGCAAAATGCACAAAGACAACCTATTACCATTACTCAGAAGAAGAGCAGAAAAGGGTAGCTAGCAACAACAACATTTTAAGTCCAAATAACAGGAAGAGCTAACATGTTTGTAGTACTAACATATTGCTTAGAAGCCTTCAGGAATATAAAGTATATGGGTTACATACAAAATCCAAGTGTATTGAATTTGAATCTTCAAATAGAATTATTATTATTTATTTTTTTACAGTTTTTTATCATTTTGAGTTTGTGTTCAAGTCAGTCAAGTTGACATGACTAATTTGTGTAGCAATTTCTAATACTGTGTGTATGTGTGAGTCACTTTTATCATTGTCAAATGTTGGCTATAACCTGTACTATGTTGCACATGGAATGCGTCTTGATTCAGATGATGATACACTTTTGGTCATTTCATATTCATTCAACTCTAAATTCTATTATTGTTGGTTTTTGTCCTGAAAGCTCATATGTTGGAAGCACCACGCCTCAGTCTTGCATCAGCAGAACGCACAATCTGATCAAATGCCTTGAGAATCAAAACATCAACATCATCGTTTGTGTCAATCTCATTATGATAGTTCTTCACTGGGAAGATGTGGCTCACTGGAACACCCACTTTGGCACTGCACAACTCCATCTGGACAGAAACACAATGCAAAATTGTTTGTAAAACTACAGAAAACAACATACAACATGTATAGATGATTAAATGACCAACCCTCTCTTTGATGATCTTGCTTCTGTAGAGCATCTTTAGATCATTTTTGACCAGAGGACATGCTTCATCCACTTTAGACATGACAATCACTTGAGGAATCCCTGCAATGAGAAAACTGAAAGTGTTTTAATCCAAATTATACAAATCTACATTTTGACAAATTGAAGGCAAATAATATTAAATTTTTATTTTTATTGGTTCACTTAAAGCATCTTTATCTATTGTTGAAATGTATTTCAAATATGCACATATGCTAAACTAGTTTCCATGTGGAATGTAGGAGCTTTTATATATTACAGTGTTGTGCATAAGAAAGATAAAAATCACAGAAAGTTTTACCTTTATCACTGATGGTCTGGCGGATCTTCTTCAGTTTCTCTGTAATTATCTTATCATCTGCAGTGAGTTGGATTGTACTTGCATCTATGATGTAAACTAGGCAGAATGCTTGATCAGACAGTGAAGGGTTTTGATTGTAATGTTCATCATCACTAGTGAGGGATTTCTCCTCGAACTAGGTGTATGAAATAAAAGCAAAATATAAAAATGAGAGAGATACTGTACACATTCAAATGTTAATTTTAAATTAAATAAATGTAGTTAGTGGGATAGTTCACCCAAAAATAAATTTTGTCATCATTTACTCGCGCTCAAGTTGTTCCAAACCTGTATGAGTTTCTTTCTTCTGTTAAATACAATAGG